TGTGTGTGTGTGTAGGAGAGGAGCAGAGAGAGAAGGACACACAGATCTGAAGCAGGCTCCAGGCTCTGAGCCATCACCACAGAGTCTAACGTGGGGCTCGAACCCACAAACCGTGATATCATGACCTGAGGCGAAGTCAGACACCCAACCGACTAAGCAACCCAGGGGCCCCGTGCTAGTTTAATAACTGACCCTGGTATCCACACTCCAAAGATGATCCTGAGAAACCATGGGGAAAGATGAGTTAGCAACCCACATATCAATCCAGTACCCCAGGTTCCACCGTGGAGGCACTGAGACCTGTATGGTTACGTGACCGTTAGTCGATAGCTTCTCTCAAACTCTGTGTGTGAGTGTCACAGGCAAAAGTGTCAGATCATCTTGAGCCAGGGAGACCAGAGAAGCCGGGCACTTTGCCACTGGTCTGGTACATTTAAGAAACAGTACCAGGATTCAGATTGGATTTCGCCATCTCTCCAAGGCTCCTCCCAGAAGGACACATCTCACCTTCGCAGGTAAAGCCTGGGTGTGCAGTGTTTTTCTGTCCCTGCTGCCACTGATGATGTCTCGTGTTCTTTCCCACAGGGCATTTACAGCTGCATTCATGGAGTGCACATCGAAGAGAAGAAGAAGTCTCCAGACTTCAACCTGACCGGATCCCAGAGCAACATGTTAAAACTCCTTCGGTCAGCCAAAAACATCTCCGACATGTCCAACATGAACTCCTCAAGAATGGATTCCCCCAAAAGGGCTGGAGACTTCATCCAAAGAGGTTCCCTCATCGTGGACATGGTTTCAGATAAGGGAAATTTGATCTATTCAGACAACAGGTCCTTTCAGGGGAAAGACACCATTTTTGGGGACAACATGAACGAACTGCAAACATTCGTGGCCAACAGGCACAAGGACAGCCTCAATAACTATGTGTTCCAGGGACAGCACCCTCTCACGCTCAATGAGTCCAACCCCAACACGGTGGAGGTGGCCGTGAGCACAGAATCCAAAGCCAACTCCAGGCCCCGGCAGCTTTGGAAGAAATCCATGGAGTCACTGCGCCAAGACTCCCTGAGCCAGAACCCTGTCTCCCAGAGGGACGAGGGAGCAGTGGAGAACAGGACCCACTCCCTAAAGAGTCCTAGATACCTTCCAGAAGAGGTGGCCCATTCGGACATCTCGGAAACTTCGAGTCGGGCCACGTGCCACAGAGAGCCAGACAACAACAAGAACCACAAGACCAAGGACAACTTCAAAAGGTCAGCAGCCTCCAAATACCCCAAGGACTGCAGTGAGGTCGAGCGCTCCTACCTGAAAACCAAAGCGAGCTCCCCCAGGGACAAGATCTACACCATCGATGGTGAGAAGGAGCCCAGTTTCCACTTAGACCCTCCCCAGTTCGTGGAGAACATGGCCCTTCCCGAGAACGTGGAGTTTACAGACGCCTACCCAGACCACGACGAGAACTTCCGCAAGGGGGACCCCGCGCTGCCGGCCACCAGGAACCCCCTGCACAATGAAGACGGACCCCCCAACAATGACAAGTATAAGTTCTACTCCAAGCACTTCACCCTGAAAGACAAGAGTCCCCCTCACAGCGAGGGCAGCGAGCGGTACCGACAGAACTCCACCCACTGCAGGAGCTGCCTTTCCAACCTGCCCACCTACTCAGGCCACTTCACCGTGAGGTCCCCATTCAAGTGCGACGCCTGCCTGCGGATGGGGAACCTGTACGACATCGACGAAGACCAGATGCTCCAGGAGACAGGGAGCCCGGCCGCCCAGGAGGAGGTCTACCAGCAGGACTGGGCGCAGAACAGCACCCTCCAGTTCCAGAAGAACAAACTCAGGATCAGCCGTCAGCACTCCTACGACAACATTCTTGACAAACCTCGGGAGACAGACCTTAGCAGGCCCTCCAGGAGCATAAGCCTCAAGGACCGGGAACGGCTCCTGGAGGGAAACCTGTATGGGAGTCTCTGTAGCGTGCCCTCAAGCAAACTCTTGGGGAACAAAAGCTCCCTCTTACCCCAGGGTCTGCAGGACAGCAAACGGAGCAAGTCTCTCTTGCCGGACCACACCTCCGAGAACCCTTTCCTCCGCTGCCATGGGGACGAGCGACGCTTAGTCATTGGGAGATGCCCCTCGGACCCTTACAAACACTCGCTGCCATCCCAGGCCGTGAATGACAGCTACCTTCGATCGTCCTTGAGGTCCACAGCGTCGTACTGTTCCAGGGACAGTCGAGGCCACGACGACGTGTATATGTCAGAGCATGTCAGGCCTTATGCTGCAAATAAGAACAATATGTACTCCACCCCCAGGGTTTTGAATTCCTGCAGCAGTAGACGTGTGTACAAGAAAATGCCTAGTATCGAATCTGATGTTTAGAACCTTCCATTAATGTTTTATCTATAGGGAAACGTACGTGACGGCCAACGTTCTGGAGGGTAAATGTCGGATGTCCGATGGTGCCTGCAAAGAGAAGGTATTTTTTTTGTTGGTTCTTTTGCACCTGGCTCCACGCCATACATAGTCTTCCCCTCAAGGAATCTTGTGAGGCGTGTGCTGAGCATAGCAGATACCGGATAGGTGAGTCCTTAACCAAAAAAAAAAAAAAAAAAAAAAAGCAAAGCAAATAAATAATAAATAATAGGGCAGGTCTCCGGGACACGCCCTCTAGGGATGTTGGCAATAACGATGCGTCGGAGGCCAGTGGTGATGTTATGATTTTCTATATTCCAAAGTCCACGAAGACCAGTCCACCATGTGATTTCCTCATCAGAAATGCCTAACGGTCTCTCTCATCCAGAATAAGCAATATGGTACGCATGTAAACCCGACACAGACACAGCAGTTACGAACGCGTCTGCACCGCAGCGAGATGGACGTGCAAGAGATGAGGAAGTTTGGCTTTGTACCCGTCCCAGCTTTAGTGTCATGCCTCCCGTCACTGCCCCGGCCCGACCCCAGAACCAGCCCCAGGCTCCCCCCCCCCCCCCACCACCACCACACACACAAAGAATCGCAAATTCCCGTGTTCACAGTAACCATGCTACCTTCACTAGAGTCTGTTTCCAAGACTCATCTGGAGGAAAAGGCCAGGAGGGCCCTCAGGCGGAGAACGACGAGAATCTCTCTGGATGTCAACTTGTGTGTTTCACAGACGCTCTCTCACCCTTGGCTTCGACGGTCTTGCTCAGAGCTGCACAAACCGATACGTGTATGTCTCCGACACCTAATCTGTGGATCTTCTGTCTCTGGACACAGAGGCTGTTGTAGTTTATCCCGAAGATTCCTATGTACGTAAGTCTGTGTTCCCCCCCCCCCTTCTGGTGACGACTCAGGGTTGTATAGTATCTGTTACCCCTTACCTCCTAGAGTGACCATCACTCGTTCAGTCCCCGAACAGCTATGGTGGAGTCCAAGTGTGTGTCACTGTTCCCAGGGTTGTCAACATCGTGGCATATGCCAGCAGCCACGTGTGTACCGTGATCTGTAAAAAGTACTATGCCGTCTGTCCACCGAAGGCTGGCACGCGTTTAGGTTAATTGTCCTTAACCTCATGAAATTCAGTTGGACATTCGTTCCCACCCCAACCTCCTCAGATCAAAAGCCTTCAAAACATGAGAGACCCTCATGCATCGACCCTGAGCATCCTCCAAAATCGTGGATAAACTTTAGTGGCAAACACGATTACTCTCTTCTGAAATACTCGCTCGATTGGAGGCACAGTGCTTCACCAGCACCAACAGAGATCTATGACAAACTCCCCAGAGCATTTGTCATTTCCGAGCCACCCCCGTTGTCCGTTTCTTGCTTTACTCAGATCTGTGCGTGTGTGATATGAAATGATACGCCTTTAAAAAACAGTGCGGGGAGGAGGGGAAGCTTCAGCATCAGAAGCTCTTGGCACAGTGCCTCGCTCACGCCAAGTGCCCCCCCCTCAAAAAGGGAGTTGTTATGTTCTGACACTTTATCAGAATTGCCTAGTTTAAAAACTAAATATTATAACCCCCATAAACAATGTTAGTTGCACATTTTATATAGTTCTGATTCAGGTTATTTTACATTCATTATCGCCCCGGAGATTTCTGGGATGACTAGGCCTCAGGTTCTGTAGAGTAGCTGAGTCTGCTGGACAAGATACTGTGGAAACCCTAAGCTAAGATGAACCTGACAGTCTCCTGGTTTCCTCCCGCATTTTGCTTCGGGTTCTCAGAGAAGGGGACGGAGGGGTAGCTACCCTGTTTCTTTTACACATGGCACGTTCTGTCTTGTAGGCAGGGTTTTCCTGCCAGGGGGCGGGGCCAGGAACGATTCTTTCAGAGCTTCAGGATTCATTGAATAGCTCCATCGTTGGGCCAGTGCACCCAGCAGTAATGAGAAGTGGTCGCAGTAAGTTTCAGGGTCATCGGTGGGGAGGCAGAGGGGCCAAAAGTCCTCTCTTCACCTTGGCGGTTGAGAGGCCCAAGAGGCTGGCTAGGCACTGAGGACAAACGTATTCAGACATTGTATTTTCTTTCTCAGATGGTATGCTTCTGCTGCCCAAGAGCCAACAGTGGAGAAGCCTAGACTGCGAGAGCCCCATATCCATTTCTGGTCTTAGGCACAGCCCTGACTGTATTGTCTTTTAGAACTTTCTGCCTCTGCCCTCCCATTGCTTTCCAGACCTACATTCCCCCCAGTCAGGATCACCTCCTTCCCTCACAAGACTGGCGTGTCATGACATGAAATGAATTACAAAGTCTCCCCAGCACACACAGCAGTGTTGTGTCATCAACCCAAAGAGGTTTTCTGTCTTCTTCCCATGTCCTCAAAACCCAAGGGGGCTGCCAACTGTGACAAAGACCTCCAGGGAGAAGGTGACTTACACTCATAACGTCCTATAGATCAAAAACCCTCCTGCTAACAATTAACAGCCTAATTTCCGCTGTTAACCCCATGTTTATCTAGGTAAAGAAACTAAAGATGGGCTTTTGGAAGAACCAACAGTAACATACTGAAAAAAAAAAAACCACGTGCTTCCTTTAATACCCAACGTGTTTTTTTTAAACAAACTAAACAATGAGGATTGGAATGCTATATATAATGAATGTATAATTTCCCTCTTTCCCAAATTTGTTGACTCTCGATGGTGATGATCCCAAACATCAGAGAATTGACCGTCAAATCAGATGGGCAATTGCCAAGAGAAAGATAATGACGTGGAGCGATTCCAAAGTAATCAAGTCAGTTCTGTTCTTTGCAGAAGCCTATCAAGGCAGAAATAGGAAGCCCTTGACTCTGGACCCATGACAGACGGTTCCGCTGACATTCCAGCTTGAGATCTTAGATCTCAAAGAGCCAGAATCTCTGAACCCAAATTTGCGCCCGAGTTTCACCTGACTCAAGTCACAGCTGGCATCCATAATGGTACTTTGGCCACCCTAACTGGCCTTCTCTACTTGAGAGGGATCCGGCTCGTACTTCTGAATGCAGAGCCGTACGTTCCTGTTGATCGGTAACAGTATACACAGGCCCAGCTTAAAACAGTCTGTGTAAGGGGAGGGCCTTCTAGGGCATGAATTCTACCCTGGAAACCTTTGAGTTTCTCAAAAAGAGTCCTCACTATCCTTACAGCCTTAGGCCACTGCTGGCTTCACTGATCTGAGAAGACAGGTTCCTCGCGCGTCTGTGTTTCTGCCAGTGAGGCTTCCTTGAGAGGTGCGGGATCGTGATCTGCCCACTCTTCTGTCCTCTGCACATCTCACTTTGTCATTACAGCCAGCCACGTGACTGGGTGTCTCGTGGATTAGACTAGGTTTCTCTTCCCTGTTGCAGAGAGCCCAAGAAGTTTTCACCCTCTGCTGTTCTGATGAAACCGATCATCGCAGCAAAAATCAGTCAAATCGACTCACACTCATTTTCAAGGAAGGAACAAGAAAATTACACCTTGTTTACAAATGAAATAGTTTCACTTAAATGGGACTCTAGCCAAGGCTGTTAATTAGTCAACAGATCCATAGCAGTCATACAGCCCCACATTGTTTATTCTATTTGATATGTCTGCCAGTGATGTGTGTTTAATATTCTGCGTCCTTCTCAGGAAATGACAAATGCCCTGAATTCTTGGCAAATAGAATTGCTAATGAAAAAGGAAAAAAAACAAACAAAAAAACAAAGTTGGTGTTAATTAAATGGTGATTAAAAATTTATGTCCTTTCAACCTAAGAAGTGCAGCTCTAATAATCGGTTGCCGTATAAATAAATACCTTGCACTGAAATCCCTTATGGCATAAGACCTAAATACTCATTTGAGAAACCAAAATATCTTTCAGAAGAGCTGAATATATTTATTAACTTCAGGCACATCCCTGTACTGTTTCTTTGTGCAGAGCTGTTGTTCAGGAATCCTTGCGAAGGGGAGGAGTGGTTTCTGAAACAGAGGCTGTGTGCGTTTGACCGCGACGAACGTGGGCAGAACTCAGAGTTCTAGGGGTAAAAAAATGACACGTGTGGCAACAAAACTTATTGGTCGGTATTTCATGGGAGTCCAGGGTTCCACGTAAAGGCGGTCTTCAATGCAAAAGCAGTGTTTATTTCCACCTGAGACAAAATTAGGCCTTCCGGATGCCTCACATTCTTTCGGCCAACAGGGTTGGAAGTGCTGAATGAGAGGTTTGGTGGGGTCTGTACCAAAATTCAGCTGTGCTTTTCCATTCAACCCCCTCACATCATGCTGTGTTCACATCTAGTCCTATCCGATGAGGTCAGCTTCCCACTCGATAGACATCAGACGTGGTAAAATGCACTTATCCTGTGAATACCAATGCTCGGGTACACATGTACATATCATACACATGCTTGATTTCTACAATTCACACATAAGTGTATTATCCAAATAACATTGTATATAGTGTAAAGTTTATGTTAAAAATTATGTGACAATGATGGTTATGGACCCGCGGAAAACCCATTCTGGTTATCGGTGCAAGGATATGTAGGAAGAGAGGGCACTCTTTAAAAAACAACAACTCAGTTCTAGGGAGGATGGCAGGGCCCAAGTGGAATCTGGGGGGTTGGTGTCCTTGGATTCTGTTCAAAAACGGTATGTGGGGTTAGGGGCACAGCACACGTTCTACTCACACTTACTTCTGAAGACAGTGCCGATATGGACGTGTGTGTGATTTCTGCAAACCCGTCAAAGGGCATCATCCCCATCGTCTTCCCCATGTCCATGTGTGTGCCCAGAAGTACTCTTGATCTGGCATCAGCTAAAGATGCCTGCCCAGAAGAGTCTTAGAAAAACAGAACTTATAGGACCACACCAAGATTTGGGGGGAAGGGAGGTGAGAAAATCAAGAGATAATGAAGGTCCCAAAAAGGCACCATCTGTATAAGATGGTCAGACAGACAGTATCAGAGCCAGGTCTGGAAACCAAGACCCACACGTATGGTCCACGTAATTCTTCATCTGGTTCCCTGGACCAGGTGACTCAGTTCTAGGCTTCTCTCACAAGTGGTCTCCGGGCACCTCTGGGATAAGAGCCAGAGAACCTCACAGAACTGACCCCGCTTTCTTTGCCTCTTGCCTTATACAGACCCATACATCCCTCTTTGAATTCGGTTTTCCCTTAAGCTCCCCAACACTCCCTGCCTCAGATTCCTGGGGAAGAGAAACCTTTTCTCAGGGACCTGTTCCCTGGAAAGTCAACAAGGAATAGAGTTTAAAACCTCAAACCAAAGATGAAAGCTGGCAGCGATCACGGAGGTAACAGTCCTGTTTCTCATGAGCCAAGGATGAACAAAGGACACTGACCAGCTGATGGCACTTGCCTAAGGATCTACTCTCCTTTTAAGACCAATTTGGGTTTGGGAGATGCAAGGGTGATGGAAAATATATAGTCTCTTCCCATGAGCAGCTTACGGTCTAGAAATTCAGTTCCCTAGGACAAAAGATAACTGAGGACCCATGAAATGCAAGCAGAGACTGAGTGTAAAAACTGGAAATGATAAATCAAGTTCTTGCCAGGAAATAAAAATCTAACTTTTTCCAGGATCAAACAAACAGACCCCTCCTTCCTTAGACCTGTAAGTAACTCTGGAAAATACAGTCTCCCGGAGATACCCTGGATGATTTTAACCTTCCAAGACAGAGCCTGGGAAAGCCAAGAGCATCTAAACAGGTGACCAGACTTACCCTTCACGTTTGTGTGCAGGAGACTCAGATCTGGGTCCATGGGGTTCTCCAGCTCTTGCCAAATCCTGCCTCCTTGCAGCCCCACTTTATGATGTGTGCTTCAAGAAAAGGTTGAAAGAAATCGCCAAAGGATTAGAAAAGAGACCGTGATCTAAAAAAACTATTTCCTGAAAGGTTTTTTTGTTTGGTTGGTTTTATTTTTGACTTATGAAGAATACTTTCGATAGTTCAGGGTATAAATGTATCAGGGAAGGGAGTGGGGAGAAGTCCTTGTTGAGTCCCAAGTGCCTACTGTGTGGCTGACAGAAGAGAGCTCATCAGGTTCCCTGGAGAGAAAATGGGGCAACAGATGGTGAGAAGAATCAGGATGTGTTTCAGGAATCGGGGCGGGGGGGCGCGGGGAGGGGGCAGAGCTTCTTTTCTCTCTGTCCCTCCTGTTCTGTGCATTGCCAGGATGTTGGAGTCTCTCCTTGTCCCAGCTACGTGCCTTGGGTCAGTCAGCACCTGAGTTTGGAAGTACCAAAATGTCTCCACACAGAGTGTAGACTATCCCAGGCATATCCTAGAACGAGATCCTCAAAATAACCATAGGATAGAAGTGTGATTGCTCCCATTTTACAGATATGGAAACTGAGGCTCAGGTTGGTCTCAGCCTCATCAGCAACAGGAATTTGCTAATAAACCCCTAACGTTGGGTGTATTCTTGAAGTGCCTGATCTCTGCCAGGGAGGTCAGAATGTGAGTCGGAAAGAGAGATGTGCTGTTTTGAGGTCCCCGGGGCTCTCTCTGGAGTTTCAGCCTCTGTGGGGAGGA